GTCCACTGCACAAAGGACTTCCTCCGCTGGGGTCTAGGAGGTAAACTAACTTAGGGGCAGAGAGATATGTACTCACAAGACAGCCTCATACTATGTCCATTTGGTCACTCTTTGGGATCTCTGAATTCCAGTCACGGACTCTTGCTGGATTTACGCTATCGAGGAGACATTTCTCCCCATGGAGCAGGCCTGAAGTCTAATCAGGGAGGGGCTGAGTGTCCCCACAGCCTTTGTGTCACTGGGGCATGCATGGGCATCGTCTGCCACACGTCATTGTGGCTTCCAGGGTTCAGTGAATAAAGCTGTGCGTGACCTTTCTCGCCCAGCAGCCTGCGTGGCACCTTCTAATGTCAGGAAAGCTAGCCAGCAGGGAGGAAGCTTCCCAGACACTATCAAGTCGATTCTCCATGTCACGTGAGCAAAGTTCTGGTGGGCAAGCAAAGCCAGTGGCATTCTCCAGGACATCCTTAGCCAACAACTCTAAGACAGGTATCCCTCACCTGGCGTTGGAATTTTTTGTTTTGCTTTGTTGTGAGACAGGGTTTCTCTATGTGTAACTCTGGCTGTCCTGGAACTCACTCTATAGACCAGGCTGGCCTCGAACTCACAGAGATTGCCTCTGCCTCCCGAGTGCTGGGATTAAAGACGCACTACCACTGCCCTGTGGGGACATTGGACTTTATTTGTTATCCTGTGGCTTTGAGGAACTTTTAGTTTGCAGTGTTCCCAAAGTCAGTGTCACAGCGTGGTGGACCAGCTGAGGCCTCAGACACACACGAACAGAGAATGGTGGGCAGAGAATAAACTGAGAACAAGCAGCCACCGTTTCCGTACCTGCGGTTTCTCCAGAGCATTGTCCATGTGCGTGGGACACTGTTTGTGGGGGACGGGTTCAGGGTGACCACTAGCTGATGTTCCTAGCAGTGGCTGAGAATACCAACCCCCACCTCAGTTAGATGAGGATGTTAGGACGAGGCCAGTGTGTGAGCCAGACAAACACGTTTCCGGAGAGATGGGGGGTGGGGAGAATGTGTCCTGTCAAGGCAGGTAAGAACTGGGGACATGGGGACACACGTTTCTTCAGAAAATCACCCGGCACTCGACATTAATCAACATCAGGAGGGTAGGTACAATCTACTAGAAAGACACGTGGCAGCCACTGATACTTAAAATATGGAGGATCTAACTACATTTTAGGGTAAATGTAAAAACTATTAATTTATACTATCTGGAAACTAAGCGTGTTTAGGAGAATCTGAGTATGTGAATTGACTTTTTAGCTTTGGATTTTGCAATCTAAACATTTCTAGTAACATTTTAGTACCTCAACTGAGATGTTTACACTGGATCTTAAAGACTTCGTTTGATAGTAAACCATCACCTTGAAATGATACTTTTTTTTTTTTTTTTAAGACAGGGTGTCTCTGTATTGCTTTGGAGCCTGTCCTGGAACTCACTCTGTAGACCAGACTGGCCTCAAACTCACAGAGATCTGCCTGCCTCTGCCTCCCAAGTGCTGGGATTAAAGGTGTGCACCACCAATGCCTGGAAATGATACTTTTAAGTTAATTTACTCTTTACTCCCTTCTTAGGGAGGTAGACTCTTAACTGTGTAGCTCAGACTTGAAAGTGGGGACAACTCTCCTGCCTCAGTGCCCCAAGAGCTTGGAATACAGTCACAAACACTGTACCTGAATGGTGTGGTAGTTCTATAAGACAGCGTTGCTATAAGAATAAAAAGCACTGGTTTGTAAGGGAAATGCACAGGTGTTATTTGAAGGAACAAAACAAAGTTGTGCTGCTGGAATGGTAATCACTGGGATAAGCATATTTACTAGACAGGAACTGATGAGTATTTCAATAAAGAATATATACTACAGTCAGAAACAGGGGGCAGCGCTCACATGTATAAACTTTCCAAAGAGCAAATTTAACGTCTTAAAATGTGGCTTGACCATAACACAACCCAGCGTGGGGCGGGAAGGTGGGTATCAAGTTCCACATTTAGCTGAGTCAAGCATGAAACCCCACCCCTAGCCATGGGATCGCTGGCAACCGTTAGCTGGGAGACGGAAAGCCAGTTTTTGACATGCTGAGCCGGCCATGCCCTAGTACCACACACACTGAGGAGTATCGGGCAGCACAAATTCATCTTGGTGGTTTAAAACAATAAACAAACAAACAAACAAACACCCACAAAGTTGGGTGGGAAGAAAGGGGAGTGGACCTAGTTGGGAGAAGGGAGATAAATATAATCGAAAAACGTTGAACAAAATTATCAAACAACCAATAGTTTTTTAAAAAAATAATCATGTTTAAGAGCCAAGCCTGGCAGCCACATCTTTTATTCCAGCACAGAGGAGCCAGAGGCTGGCAGACCTCCAAATTTGAGACTTCCAGGCCAGATAGGGCTGCATAGTGACAGTGGCTACTTTATGAAGTGATTTAACTTAGTGATATCTACACAGCCTGGGGACGGTGGAAAGCAGGCGAGCAGAGACAAAACAGCGCCTGTGGCAAACTGCCGAGCGCAATCGACTTCTAAGACATTCTGCCCGCGGTTGCTGGAATTTTCGGTATTGTGCCTGTAGCAATGTAGATATTATGGTAGGGGTGGGTAGTAGAAGTGCCCGCTGACTGGGGAGTAGAGACATAGGAGGAGTAGAGATTGGGATCCCGGTGTCCCCCTCAAACACACACCTCCAGCAGCGAACTTCTTTCCTGTGCCTCCTAAGATGTCTACCACCTTCCAGCAGGGTCACAGACTGTGGGCCAAGCCTTCAACACCTTTGGGAAATACTCAAGAGCCAACTATAGGGAATGCCTAACTCCATCCCCTCCTTGGTATTATATTGTCTCACTGATATAGTACCACACACGTGTGCATCCAGAAGTTAAAAAATAAAAAAGAAAGAAAGAAAAAGAAAAGGAAGTGGAAGGCAGTCTGCAAACATTTGCTCTTCTGCGGTAATCAATCCCCCGCATGCTTCTGTGTGCTTGTATAAACAAGAAGAAAGGTGTGTGTACTTGCCAACTACCAGTGCGCTCTGGATCCGCTGGCCAGAGAACCAGGGTGGGCAGGGTGGAAAGAGAATGTTTGGTTATGTTTATAGAAAAGTATTTTATACGTTAGGTTTTTCCATGCCAGTTTTTAACGCAGTCATTGTTTTCGTTACAAACGTCTGTTTGTACAAACCGAAGAGGAAAGCCTGTTGACAAACACAGCAGTGATTGGGTTCCTTAAAGCCAGCCGAGAGGCTCAGAGGAGAGTTAGACCTTCAAGGAACGAACCATAATGACCAAAGAAAGTTTAGAAAACAGCTTGACAGACAGGCATACTAGAAGCAGCAAACAGGTTCTCTCAGGGCTGCTCAGGAAGAAAAATGTACTGGGGGGAAAAAATCAGAGAGCTGGCGGGCATCAGAGAGAAGATGTGAAGCCTTAAGGCTCACAAAGACACGCCGTGGATTTTCCTCAAGTCTGAAGACTGCGATTGATGGAAATAATACAAAATTAGAACTATCTTGACCTAGTTACTTCAGGAATTAAAAAAAATCCTTTGGACATGTAACTCCTTCCATACCACCAAACATAAAGCAAAAACAACAAATATTTCCAACTACTTATATGTAGATTTAAAAAAAATGCCCTTGCACATGACCAGAAGGGGAAGCAGAATAAATCATTTAAGGTATTGCATCACCCCGTCCCCATCTTCCTTTGGAGCCCCTGGCGGAGGTTTTAGGCACTGCCATGTTTCTGCGTGTTTCCCTAAGGTCAGTGAACCTTAGGGTTCATAGGCTTTGGCCTGGATACTGGAAATGGACACAGCACAGATTAAGTCCAAATCAGCAGTGCAGAGATTTATAAATGGTAAATGTGCTGAGAATTCGTGGCTGCTGAGTGCTCGGCCCCAAACCAGACGTTTCTGTAAACTCCCTCAAGGCACAGGAGTATCCCACAGGGCTTGGGGGAGAAAGTCAGGGCCCTGGGGATGGGAAGAGCACTGTGAGACCCTGTCTTCTGGGCATGACTTGGCTCTGCCTTCCTGAACTCCCTGTAGGTATAGTTATTTACACAAGGTCAAGTCAACATTCCAGCAGGGAGCATTACAAAACCAAGAGAGGACACGGATGTGACATGGCAGCATGTTGGGGGTGTCTAAGAGGAGCGGGAAGGGAGATTGGGATTTGGCGGTGGGTGTGAACAAGATAGATTAAGGGAGATTGGGATTTGGCGGTGGGTGTGAACAAGATAGATTAAATGTGTGTGTAAAATTGTCAAAGAGAGAGAGAAAAAAAGATTCTTAAGAAAACACAACATTAAAAGATGCAGCCTGACTACTTACAAGTCCCTGAAGTTCATGAGACTTACTTAACCCCTTGAATTGAGCATTTCAAACTTAGTGACATTGTCGTTTGGGGGAGGTGTTGCAGCATAGGTTTACATAAGCTGATTGCTGAGAAGTCTCTAAAGTGTACGGGCTTCCACTGGTTTTCATACTGCCTATATGGTTCTCTGGAGGACTCTTGATTTAAGAAGAATAAAGCCAAAGAGTGGGTCATTGCAGAATGTTTCAGATAACCATGAGTGAAGGCAGAAAGGCCTTACTTGTGATGTGTTTAAATCATACCACTCTGAAATACTTAGAGTATTATAAGAGGGTATGGCCGAGTCACAGCCCCATTGTTGGGAGCTACTATATATACATGTATGTATATATGATAACACACACACACACACACACACACACACACACACACGTTACTTTCTCACGGAACTCTTGAAAATAGAAAGAGAACATTACTTGGACTGAAGATCACACCTCTGTTTGGGACATCATCGTAGGAGTTCTCCATGGAGAGAGGGTGGACTAAGAAGGGAGGGGAGGAAGCAGATACGGTTCCCTCAGAAGGATTCCCTCCAGACTTCCTTCCTTCTTTGCCGTTAGAGTCAAGTCTGTGCTGAATTCATCAACCTGTGGCAAAGGCTCTCTGTCCCCTCCGGCGTCTGCATTCAGAATCCCGCCGGACACACGGCTGAGCTCACGGTGTGTTCGGGACCCAACTGCAGTCCAGCGTTGGTGGATTCAACAGCTCGCAGCAGGCTTTCACAGTAAAGAGGCTGAAGTTCCCTCCTGGGATGACCTTGTTTGGTCCCTTGCCAACAGTACTGGTGGAAACATAACAAGACCATGACTTAGGCCTCAGAAGGACACAGGAGGTGAGTAGACACCAAAAACGGTAAGGGCAGGAAGCTGGTTCCCAGGCTGGGTAGGGTGGGTTTCAGGCAGGGGCACCTGAGGGTTAGTTTTGGATCTCAAATTCTGGGTGGCCTTGAGGGCTCCCCCTATTGCAGAATAGCAACGGCAGGATAGGATTGAGTCCCATTCACAAAACAAAACAAAAGGAAACACACTGGACAGGGACTGGAGAGGTAGTAAGTTAAGAGCACTGGTTGTTCTGCTGGAGGACCCAGGTTCAATTCCCGGTACCCACACAGACGCTCACAGCTGCAGCTCCAGTTCTGGGGGATCTGATGCCCTCTTCTGGCTTCCCTGGGCACTGCATGCACTCAGTGCAAAGCCATACATGCAGCTACTCATGCACAAAACCAAAATCTCAAATAAATTAAAAACCGCTTCAACATTAATAACAGCACGCGAGGCCACTGGTTTTGCAAACCAAAACTGTAGAGGGTGGAGACGGACGGCAGGGTCACGGGTGGCCTAGCCTCTCACCCACCATTGTCCTTCACAACGCTGCCAGGACCACCTGGATTCTTCTGAAAATGAGGCAGTAAGAGGGGAAAAAGCGGTAGGCATCTCGTCCAAATCCTATCAGCTGATATCACCAGGACTGGGGACCTGAGGTGAGGCCAGACTGAGATTCTAGCAACAGTAACTGAAAGCATTGGCTTTGTGGACAGGCCTGAAGTTCCCGTCTTGATAATGTCGGAACTAATATTGCTTGGACAGACACAGGCTTTACCGTGGCAGATGCAAAGGGAAGGTGTGATTGTCCTAACTTATGTGGGGACTGCAAGGTTTAAGTGAGTTTGTTCACACCAAGTGCAGTGTGCACAGGGGTACATGCTATCCACTTGTGAGCAGCCTAGGAAAGTGTTTCCGTTTCTAGTCTTACCTGGAAAGGTAAGACACGACGTTGTCAGAAACACCGCTAGTTTTCTCACACGCCCATTGAAATACACAGCTAAGGAAGCTATGATAGCAACAGATAACGGTCTTTATGCTGGGACCGTAGCACGGCTGTTTGCTCCAAAGATAACAGGATCATACTATGTGCCTGTCTGTCCACTGTCACTGAGAAGAGATAAGCTCGGCCCAGTAGTCACGGCAACCAACTAACTGTAGTAATACCACGATAGCCGGGTCTATGGTAATAGTAAGAGAGTGAGCATTCCCTAGAAGAAGATGGGTGAGGAAGGTCAAGAGGCTGGGATTTCAGCTACCACTTCCCACCTCTCAACTGCACGCAACCCCGGGACGTCCTGGGATATGCGGTACAGGAAGGCGGGCGGAAGTGGGACTCAATAGCACAGCTTCAGCGAGTCATCGCCCGTGCTGGCGTGAGAGCTTTCTCTGCTCCCGCTGCAGTGGGGCTCTCTGCACATCTGTGAGGAAGCCTGGTAAACTCACTGGTTCGCCAAGCAGGGCTTTGAGTAACTGTCCACTTTTGTCTATTCTTGGTGCCCTATCTGGGGTGAACAGACTCTTGTCCACATCTCCCCCAGAAAAAGGCACACGATAGTTGGATTTGGTTATTACTGAGAGATCATAGGGACAATAAATAAGAAGACAAGTACCTGTTCAGGAGACTTTGGCAACAAGACACCGCTTCGGTTGTGTTGCTGAGTAAATCGGTGCTCTCCAGAATGTGATGGCAGTTGGTATCTGCGGGGGTGCTGGAGAGTATGCCTGGGAAGGAACCGAGTGCTGTTTATTGTCACAACTTAACAAAATCCCAGAACGCCTTCTGTTCCCAGCTTCTCCACTGCAGCCCACGCACTCCGCTTTACAGGGTGTGCCTAGCTCAGCTGATTCTCAGCTTTCCGTGGCAGCGTGCGCTACGCATGCAGCCGGGAAGCTCGCCTCCGTGGGAGCTTCCACCCCTCGGGCTTGCGGGGCGTGAAGGGTGGATGTCATACCTGCGATGCAGGCCGTCATGAAGCAGGCAGCTGTCCCTGCGATCAGGGCTCTCATTGCCCCAGAGGCAATGTCACGCTTTCTGGATGGAGCTATGGACGCTGGGAGAGAAAGAGGCATTCAGATTAGGATGATTAGAAACCCAAATTCGTAGCTTCTAATAATTGTTTTGTGACTGGACTCTCAGGTCCATTGGAAAGAAACACGTCTTAAAAGTATCCAAAGAGGCCACAGAGCACTGAGGATGTGGTAATGTCAGTGGGCTACCAGGGAGGGTCAATCGATGGGATGACGTCTTGTTAGCCGTCATCATCTATGTCTACATCCATGGCAGACATCAGTAACAAATGACAGCATCTTCTATGGTGAGCTTCCACGGACCCAGAATTCCCCCCAGATGGCTGTTGTTACTCTGTGAGCATTGGTCAATAAGTGACTGATGTTATTGGCTTGGGAGAAGTATCTGTACGTTTGAACATATGTATCTTGAATACTAGAGTGTGCATATGAAAACCATAGTGCAGAGCAGAGAGGAAACAGACCCCAGGGTGCCTTACTGTTGGAGAAGCCACTTTCCACAACACAACAATAAAGAGCTGTTGTTGAAGAACTTTCTTTTCACTTACTAAGTCCGCCGATCACTATTCCTAGGGAACCAAAATTGGCAAAGCCACAGAGGGCATAGGTCGCAATGGTCTCAGAACGAATCTGTAAGGGAGCATAAACACCGGTGTGTACGTGATCTGACTCACCTTCTGACATCTGACGCCCCGCCCCCCCCCCAGGGCCTCACAGGCCACAGAATTTAATGGTGATAAGTAATAACCACTAACGGTTTCCTTGTGCTCTTGAATTTTGAGGGAGAGTAGACAGAGGGTAGATTCAAGGAACACCTCAACAGACGGGGGATTAGTAGCCTTGGCATCAACAAATGACACTTCCTGCTCTTTAATAACTTGTAATGTTCTGTATGGCATGGTTACCTGCTGCGTTAGAGCAGGCACGGTGCTAGAAGAAGTTGGTCTCAGAAAATATTTACACTATATCATCTGACAAAGACTTACTTGAAATATATAAAGAGCTTCTATAATTAAACAAGAAAACTACTGTCCAAGTTTTGGATATATTGCCACAAAAGATGGGCAATGAGCATATGGAACAATGCTCAGTATTAGACACCAGGGAGGTGCCAACCACTGTACCAAGAACCAAAATAAATCTTCCTTTAAGTCGATTTATTTTAGGCATTTTGTCAGTTACTGCGAGAGCTTAAAATTGGAAAAAAAAAAAAAAAAAAGCAGAAGCTGCCTACACTAAGTGTGTCACGATGTAAAGCGTCTGGGTTACTCATGCATCGCCACTAGGAAAGTCACGCAACGCACTCTCCTGGTGAACCCTGGAGTCTCGCTGAGGTAACACAAGCTTCCTGCAGGACCCTTGAAAAGAGAATATAATGTATCATACGACTCATCCAAAGGGGCCCACAGATTCCCGAGAACACGGCAGAGCCAGTGGTTACAAGAAGAGCCCATCAGTGAGACGATGTGTCATTCAGTTGTCACTGGCTGCTTCCAGACCTGCAGGACATAGGCGAACACTGGCCACAGGGAGACCTTACTCCCGGGAGTCTCACGTTTAAACAGCTCAGGTGTTCTACATTAGGAAACGTATAGACACATGGTGAAAACCTACCAAACAGAACATTGGTCTGCCAGAAACGGAAGAGTGGTATGTGTGGCGGACGGCATGGATAATACAGTCTGTTATGGATGCTAATGCAGCCTATTTGTGCACACACACAAAAGTGATTATTATGGTTTGGGTCTTGACAGTTCCCCGGAAGCTCACGTTGAAGGCTTGGTTCTCAGCGCAGCCATGTTTATAGGCAGGGTCTTCGGGAGATGTTTGCCTCACAAGGGCTCTGACTTCATGAGTCAAACTGCCCCCTTTATGGGTTCACGGGTTTGCATGATGGGTTTGTCGTAATACTGAGAGAGCTTTTTCTTTCGATCCTGGCCTTCTACACGATGCACGTGCCTTACTTACCATTGGCCTAAAAGTAACCATGGTAAAACCTCTAAAGGACAGTTCTGAGTAAACCTTCTGATTCATCTCAAGTATTTTGTCACAACAAGGACAAATGGTTATTTCAGTCCTCTACAGAGAAAAAAGACCATTGGTTGCCAATAGGTCTTGGGGGGGGGGCGTTGTCTTTTAATAATCACGGGGGAAGTTAATTAATCAACCAGTAAACAGGAGCATCCCCACAGTCTGGCCATCCTGTGTGCTTGCCTTTGTTCTTTAGCTCCGAAGGCCCCAGGAGAATGCCAGGATGCCCAGTTGCAAATGTAAGAGTGTGCAGCCTTTCCCGGGGTAACGGGAAGGCAGAAGTGAGTGAGCAGAAGGGAGCATATGGGGCTGGCTGTGTTCCTCCTCAAGGCTGCATGTCTGAGGACTGTCTCTCAGGATGAAGAACCCAGCACGGAAGTTTCTGCACGTTGGTGAGACACAGCTTCTCCCGAGCACACACTGCTTCTCCAGAGTACACTGGCACTCTGCTTCTCTGGAGCACATCCAGCCGGGCAAAGGCACTGTTGACGTCAAGCTGAGGGCTGCTCTGTGATTGTTACTCCACATTATACTAAACAGTGGATTTCCAGACTGACCCTTGACCCAGGACACACCATTTCGCAAACAGCGTTCGACTCCGTACTGAGTGTGAACACAGGATAACCACACCTGGTGGTCACTAAAAACCACACCACTGCCTGGCACCACCTCTGCGCTTGCCACAGTAAATATGGTGAATGGAGGTATTAGCATCACATCAGGACCAGGACAGAGGGGTTTCTGGACAAAGCAGATTGGGGAAGGGATGCAGCACCCTGACCAGACCCCATAGGAGACGTCTCATGTCTCAGCCACCAGAGCCCGCTAGCCTGTCTCTGACAGGGGTCCAGCAGAGTGTGTGCAGACCCCACTGCGGACGGATTTATCAGCAGCGGAGAAGGAGGCTGAGACCATACTACCGTCTTTTGCCCCCACAGGTAAATGATTATGCAGTGGAGCGAGATGGGCCGAGCTGAGAAGATAACAGTCTCCTGTGTGTGAGCCAAGATGCTCAGAAATTTGGAGCAACTCCTTTTCCCACTGTGACTCGACAGTAGCAGAGGCCGCTGGGCTGTTTTCTCATGGACCCTGCGTGTCTGCCTTCAGCTGGGCTCACTCCCAAATGCAATCAGCTCTGCAGTTGGGGCTCTGCCTTTCCGACAGGCTTTCCAGAGAACCAATTAGTACTGCCAGAACTGGCAGCTTGCTCTGCTCATTAACAAAAGCACTTCTCCTGGCAACGGAGAAGTAGAAAACATGTCAGTTAATTTAGCCTATTGTTTACTCTGGGCAGGGAAACAAACTGCTTTAGATGGCATCCAGACAATGAAGAAAGTTGTCCGTGTCCTGCCGTTAGGTTACCTGGAAAATGAACAGTGAGGAGAGGAGACCCATGGACCCCGCCCGTTCCTATCAGATTTGGGGGGCACAGTGCCCCTGACCACAAAATCATTCGCATGAGGATGCCCTGGGAGGTGACTCCACTTATATGATCTATTTGTTTGGTTTTTGAAAGTCCAGGGAGGAAGTGCTGGTCTCTGGGGTGAGTATCTCCATACTTGGCAATATGCTTTAATGCTGGGGACATTAACTCCAAATGGGTTGTTTGAGAGAGATGGGGATGGTTAGAAATATTCGCTTCTGTTCGTTTCTTTATGTGAGGATTCTGATCTTTGGAGGGAAATAAGTTGTGCATTCAGCTGCAAACAGGTCTTCATGCAGATTAAGTTCCTCACTCCATCAAAGCCCAAGAAGGAAGCCATGAGTGACTGACCCAAGGTTTCCAGCCACAGGGTCAGGGCCTTATCTCCTCTTCTCCTTTTACAGCAGCAACTGTGCCTCCTCATCTTTTGAGGACACGAGGAACAGAGTGACAGTAGTCAGCTTCTAGGAACCCATGGTGCTGGCAGAGGCCTTCACAGTCAGCCATCAACTCCGAGAAGGAAAGACCTGCTATTCTTTGGCTCCTGAGTATTTCCCAAAGACCTCTGTGCTGAAGGTGGAGCCTTAAGCGGGCTTGACAGCTAATCTACCTGGGAAGAGGGACCCCCGACTGAAGAATTACCTACATTAATTGGCCTGCAGCGTGTTTGTGGGTTTTTCCGTCCTTGCTGATTGATGTGGGAAGGCTCAGCCCACTGTGGGTGGTACCATTCCCAGGCAGCGGGCCTGGGCTGTGTGAAAAAGGCTGAGTGAGCCTGGGGCCAGCCAGGCTCTGCCCCAGGTTCCTCCCCTTGGCTGCTGTCAGTGAGGAACTCTCGGGAAGCGCAGGCAGAAGTAACCCTCTTCTCTCCCCAATGGAGTTTATCCCAGCAACGGAAAAGCACGCTAGGGCAGGAAGTCAGGCCCAGTACAGGAAACTGGGTCATTCTACCACACCCTACGCCCCCTTCTGTCCCTTCACCTCCCACTTGCTTTGTGGTGAACTTTCCCCGATGTATGCTCGATGAACAGATTCGTACAGAAGAGCCACAAGGCCAGGGGATCGTGAGCTGAAACGCTGGAAACTGTGCGCCCAGGTGATCCTGCCCGTTTTGGCATTGTGTCACCGTAACACCGTAACACGAGGGTGACCAGCAGAGGCCTGTGGTGCCCTCAATGCCTGAGCCCCCCACCACTCTGAGCACAGAGGACAATGGGTAAGCTGCGCACTGATGCCGGTTGTGGCCCTAGGCCTGTGGTTATCGTCTTTAAAAGCTCCACCTCTCTCTCTCTCCTTCCCTTTCTTTCTCCACACACACATCACACAGTCGAGGAAACATGACCCAAAGTTATGCTGTGCTCATTATGAACGCTACAAGGTTAAGTTTTTGGGTTGTTCTGTGCCGCTGTGGGGACAGAACTCAAGTTCCCAACCGGGTTCGGAACAGGTTGCAATCACGCGATAGAGAATTGCACATACCGACATATATTGCTGCACGCCATTCACAAATTTGGGTCCAGCAGCTTTCCTCAAATTGATCAATTTCGAGAGATGGTCATACGCCACAAATTCATTGAAGAATGTCTTGTAGCCTATGAGTTTGGCCACCATGAAGCTGTCTTGCCAGTCGACCCCCATCATGAAGGACAGTGGCATGAAGATGTAGGAACAAAAGAGCTGCGAGACACAGGGGCATCGGCACCGATTAAATGGTGGCTTGCCTCTAATTCGGCCATGCCGCCCCCTCGTGACTGGATTGATCCTGCCTCTCCTGGGCACTAGGAACCCCTTCCATCCAGCCGCCCATCTCCATATCTCAGGAGCACATGGTTAGTCCTCAACAAACTGGCGTCAAGGCTTGATTCCCATGCTTAAAAAACCAATGAGCATCTTTCTTGGGATATCACATGAGTTAATTCTCGGTGGAATGGGCTAATCTGAGATAGTGCTTGTTTGAGGAGGGGTCAGCTCCTTGGTTCTGTCACCCATGGGTCTTCGTGTGATCCTCACCAGATATAATCCCCTGATAGAGGATGTTCGTAGCCTTCAGAATGGCAAGCTAAACAAACCTGCTTCCTGATCAAGTGTTCTGTTATAGCATACAAAGCAGGCTAAAGCAGGGGACGCAGCGAATGTGCACAGGTGGTGCTCTTAGTGGCTGCAGCTGAGGGCCCCAAGGTCTCCCTCTATAGCCTTGAACTCATGCCAAGTCTTCTATGTTGGCCTCCTAAGTGACAGGATTAAAGACATGAGCTACCATACCTGGCTTCTAAACTTTCACAGAGATCCGCCTGACTCTGCCTCCTCAGTGCTGGGATTAAAGGCGTGAGCCACCAACGCCCAGCCTCTACACTTACTTTTAAACACAGATGGTCAGAAACAAAACATGACAGAATCATACCTCAAAACTCAGCTGTGGGTAGTCGAACATGTTTCCGAACCAGGACAGGGCTGAGTTCACAAAAGACAGTAAGGCCAGGAAGGCGATCAGATTCACGGCGATGTTTGCTACCAGAGGGATGGACGAGGATGCGCCCTGCGTTGCTGCCTCCAGGAGATTTCTGGAATCACTTCATCAAGAAATGGGAATTCCAAAATTACCACAGAGTATCTCTGGAGAGATAGATGCTCCAGCACAGCATCTGCCACGTCAGGTTTGCCACACACGAGGTGACCCTTAGTCGAATGCCTTGGTCAAAGTACTCAGTCTCTTACAGCCTCAAAATCACCGTGAGGCTCAGAACCGTTACCCTCAGTGGCGGGGATGTGGGACTCCAAGGCTGCATTACCTTTCCCTTGGCGGTGGAGAGTGAATCCTGCATGCTAAGTACACAGACCCATTCACAGCCCTAACCCAACAGTGCTTTTTAAATTGGGGGCATTTATAATAAAAACAGGAAAAAACCAAGGAGCGACAAACACAGAGAAATTTCAAACCATTTGTCAACAGTACCCGCCAGGGGATATTCACAACTTATCCTGGCTCTAAAAAACGAGCCGTTGGAAGAAAGCTCATTCACTGCCTCTCCATTTAAGATTGAGTCACTTTAACCCCTGCACTCGGGAGGCAGAGGTAGGCCGATCTCTGTGAGTTCAATGCCAGCCTGGTCTACAGAGAGAGTTCCAGGACAGCCAGGCCAGGGTTACATGAAGAGACCCCATGTTGAGATTGAACCCCACTTGGGTCTTCTCTGATCTCCCATAACCCCTGTAATCTCAGAAGTCTACCCCACTTTCTTAACCGTTCACCCACATGTATAACACACACCAAGCAACTCTTCCTGGCTCTGACTCTAAGTGGAACCTTCAGGGGGCCATCCCTAATCCCAATCATCTGGACCAAAAGCATTTCCTGCTTTGGTGTTTGGGATAGTTGCATTATCCACAACAAGGAGTCTTGCGGGAGGATGGTAAGGCTTAAAAGGAAACTGTATTAATTGGTATTTCCTATGTACCTAATCCACAGGAACTAAGGGTAATTAAATACATGGTTATCTGCTATTGCTTTCCCTGTGAGCATGATGTGAGCATGTAGCTTCTCTCCTTACACCTTTACCTGGGCTCTGGGGATCAGGTCTCCAGGCCTGGATGGCGAGTGGCCTTACCTGCTGCGCCTCCTGCAAGCCCTGTACAATGTTCTAAATAACCCGTGATTAAAGCAAAGCTGAATGCATGCATTTCCCAATTGTGGCATCGTGACGGGACTCCCAGTGCCCTGGATTTCAGAGCAGTTTTGATTGCAGAGTTCTGGGTTAGGGATGCCCACCCTCTATTTAATCCTTTTGACAAGCTGCTTTCATACTCCCAGACTATTTCCATGTGAACAGGGATGGAGCTCAGACACATGTTGGCTGAATTATGACTTAATGAGACACAAATATCTTAGCTCCTGCAATCCCTCTGAGGTTTTTTATAAATCTCTTTTGCATAGCACAGAGAAAGATGAAGCAGTTTTGTTTGTTAGTTTCATGCGGGACCTGAAACAGCCATTTTGTGACTTCTCAACAGTGCTAAAGTAGAGCTCAGTGAACTCAGTGATGTGTCTACGTAAGCACCTTCACAAGGGACACACTTTGGAAGCAGATGTCCGGAAAGGCTTTCCTGAGCATTGAAAGGGGAGTTCGTTCTGTTTCTTAAACTCTAAGAAGTCACTGGGAAATGAAGTGTAATTCTAATGCCAACATGGGCTGTGCTTTCTTCCCGTCATCAACGCTGAATCTGGCGTTCCCAGCCTGTGCGGTTGTTAATTAGGTAATGAGTCGACTTACCCACTTTGAATTTTCATGGCATTCTTGAGGGTGATTTTGGGTTTTTCTGTTTCGGGCCAAAAGAGCTTGGCCACAGCCAGGGACGCCGGTGCTGACATGACAGAGGCTGTTAGCAAATGTGTGGATGACACCTGTGAGGAGAAGAGGCCGATCCCTTCTGGAGTCTGCAAGAACAGCCGCTCCCACTGTGCCCAGTTCTAAGGCCCTGGGAGTCAGGTGTCACCTGACACCTGCTTGGGAAAAGCACAAACCTAAACCTGATTGTTTGGGATGAGAATTGTAAGCATTGTCAGCATTCTCCAGGATGAACTTTCGGCGGGCCCCTACCTACCGCCCACATTTTGTCACAGCCTCAGTTCAGATGCGGGCATCATGGAAGAAGGGCCTCTGGCCGTGTGCAGAGACAGCCTCTACTCTTCCTGCCTCTTCTCTCTCTTGAAACCCTTTCTGTCTCAGCACCATTTTAACTCACCCTTTGTCCTGTAAATGATTTTGCCTTTCCTCATGTCCTTCTCTCCTGCCCTACACTGGAACTGTTAACAGATTTTTATCCCTACTGTGAGGGCTAGTCTTGGTTGTCAACGTGGCCATGTGGTGGTTTGAAGGAAAATGGCCCCCATGGGGAGCGGCTCTATTAGGAGGTCTTTGGAGTAGGTGTGGTTTTGTAAGTGTGTAAGTGTAAGTAAGTGTGTCACTGTGGAGGTGAACTTTGAGGTCTCTTATGCTCAAGATTCGGCCCAGTTCTCAGACCACTTCCTGTTGCCTACAAGATGCAGGATTCTCAGCGCCTTCTCCAGCGCCATGTCTGCCTGTATGATGCCATAATCCACCATGATGATAATGGACTAAACCTCTGAAAATGTAAGTCACCCAAATTAAATGTTTTCCTTTATAAGAGTTGCCATGGTCATGGTGTCTCTTTACAGCAAGAGAAACCCTAACTAAGACACTGCATCTAACAGAAACTAGAACCCAGGCCTCAGACCACTCCTGTGAGGGATTTTCTTGATCAGGTTATTCGAAGCAGGATGATAAAGCCTTCTAGAAAACTCTAGCAGGACCCAGATTTGGCTCATGGTATATAGTTTGCTATAGTTTAGACCAGGGTTCTCATGACTTTCCGAATACTATAACCCTTTAATACAATTCCTCATGTGCTGACCCCCAACCATAAAATTATTTTCATTGCTATTTCATAACTGTAATTTTGCTACTGTTATGAATTGTGATATAAATCCCTGTGTTTTCCAAGGGTCTAAGATGATCCCTGTGAAAAGCTCATTAGACCCCCAAGGGGTTGGGACTCAAGGATTGGGAACCACTGGTTTAGGCTGTTTTTGCCGATGTCAACAATGGGCTTTGTTTTCCCCTCCAGATTGAAAATTTTAGATAAAGTAACTTATAATTCCACTTTGTTGTGGCTAGACATAATTATAGGATGGTGGCAGGGATATGAAAGCCAAGCCCTCAATCTCCTTGGGGTCACTATGTCATGATGACAACATTTTCCATCCGCAACGAGAAAGAAAAAGGAACAATAAATAAGAAGCAGGAGTTGATTATATTCCAAAAGTTCTTACTCCAAAAGAGATGTAGGCACCCAAAACGCTCCCTGCAATCGTGGCGAAGCCAGCTGTCATAATGGCGTGGAGCTCTGATCTGGTGACATGTGGTAAATATGGTTGGACCAGTAGTGGAGACTCTGTCTGGAAACAAATGTTAAATGTTAGCTATCTGGTGCTCAACATTATATTCCCTGCTGCAGTTATTAGAGAGACGCCCAGACTGTCTCCAGCAGTCACCAGGAACTCTGGAAATGCAAGTTCTCCACCTGGAATCAGGAACTCTGAGGGTGCTTCCCCCTCCCCCCAGTCTCTACTTCCCAGGTGATTCTGGTGTCTGACTCCTTGGGGTCCCTTCATTCAAATGCTAAAGTGACTGGGGGCAACTCTTATCATATTTTAACATGGAACAGTTTCCGGGTCTCACTGAGTGGTGACTACAAATAAGAAGAAAAGCAGCACAGCAATAGGAAAGAAGGGATCGAATTTTGTGTGAGTTAATCATATCCCAAACATTCCTACCGCAGAGAACATGTGTGCCCAAGATGCCTCCAGCGTTTGCAACATGCCCACGCCATTGGTGTCCTGGTCATTTGAACTCTACATCAGCGTGCATGTGTAGCCTGGGTGAATCTTGTAATATGTGGGCCTATTAAAACAGTCCTGCACCCAGCTTTGGGCTGGATGCTGGGAGGACTTGGGAACCCTTCCTGAGGAATGGCCAAATAACTCCACCTGGTAGTCTGGGATTCCCAAACCCCTGAAACTTTCTGTCTTCCAGGTTGATCTTGACAGACATGTTTTGTGGAAATAGAGACCATTATAGAAAAAAGGATAGGCCAGGTGCCTATAGGCCCTTTCATAATTGAGACTGACCGGCCAGGGTACAGGGAAACAGGCTTGAATCTCATTACAGGGGGCAGGCAGCCCACAACGTGGGGCTCTCCATCAATAATAGTAGCACTTTGGGCACATTAACCATCAAACTGAGCGCCACAGAAGCATGCGTGCAATTTTACAATTTTCTGCTCATTAGTCCTAACTATTCTGTGAGATTGAATGTGTTGAGTCTCAATTTATAGACTAAATAGGAGCCCAGTATGTGAGACCTTCTGCCCCACAGGTACGAGCAATCATCTCAAGATGGTGCCTTAATTAGTCCTAAGAGATTTTATGACTGTAATTATTATAATTTCAACTCCTAGAGAAGGGAGCATTGCCACCACACACATACTGAAGACTGCTTCAGGCTCATGAGCCAGCTTTACAGAGAAGTCTCAGTCTGCCTGGAGCAGTCGGAAGCCTGGGTTTTGGGGCCACCTATTTTCCCCGTGGCGTGAGTTTGCTTCAAGTCCACTTTCTTTGGGCAGTGTTGCTGGCAGCATTCCCCCAGCCTCATTGTGTGATTCCAGTTTCCCTGAAGCTATGTGTCCCGAGTGGTGGCGCTCATAGCCAATTCCTAACCTGCCCATTCCTTACGGTTGCTCCAATGTTGAGGAATTACATTTCTTTGTTTAAATGGGCTTCGGGGAAAAGTGTATTTATTCATGGGATGGGTTGGGGAAATGAGAATCATAACCTAAAAGTTTATCTTTGATGAGAAGAAAAAAATCTGAAAGCATTTTCTGCAGGCTCGGGGAAGGTAGATGGCTGGGCACGTGGGGGTGAGGTTTGTTGATGCACCTGTAGGACTGTTGGTGGGTGGCTTTTCTGTCTTTCTCATTGTCACAGGCATCGCAGTGAAGAATGTGAGGTGTCCCCTATTCACTATCTGCAGCTCAAAGGCACTGAAATCCATCTGAGATGAACAGCTACAAGCTTCTTCAGAGCTGACCAAAGGCTTTTATGGATAAAAGGTTTGTGGAGAACGTGTACATGAAAAGCCCCATGGTTTGATTAAAATAATTGTGTTCTCTCTCTGAGCTTTTTCAATAACTCAATTCTGTGCTAACATGACCTCCCTCCCTTTCTCTTTACACGCGCGCGCGCGCGTGCACACACACACACACACACACACGCACACACACACACACACACGCATGCAATACTAGGGATTTCTTATTTTATATTCTTCATTCTACCCTAAAGAGATTATGCATCGATGAGCTCGTTTTCATCTATTTTGGAAAGCGCATCCCTACTGCTTGGCTTTGCTTTGTTTCTGTTATTACAACTTACTTGTCCAACAAATATGTTGCCGGCAGCAACTACAGACTCAATGGGAGATGACCCCATAGTGACAAGCATTAGCCATCCAACCTAAAAGGAGGAAAGGAAAAAGTCAGCAAAGAACTATTTATACAGCAGACCTAACAGTCGGCTAAAAATCGGACCTTAGTTAAGACCCTGAGGTCTTTAAGACCAATGGCAGGTTGGCAATGGGCTGAACATGGGTGAAACTCCTCCAGCCACAGAGCCAATCTACCAATTCTGCATCATTGTATCTGCTTTTGAGCAATATAGAAGTCGTTTCTGTAGATTAAATAGAAGTAATGGATAAATGATTGCTTTTCTGTGGTCTCAGAACGACTGTGAGCAACAGACCCGAGTAACCCATCTATTTATGGCTCTTTGGAGCAGATCTCTGCCGTTCCCTGTGTTGCAGAAGAGGCAGCTAAGGCACGGAGCAGCTAGTCAGGGCCAGCCCACAGGGAGTACTAAGATGGAAGATGGCTGGGGCCGAAGGTGTTTTCCCTCCTGAATTCAAACGAGCATGTTTGGGGGGGGGTCCTACTTTTGTGGTGGCTTTGTGGGATGCTTAGAGCCAGAGAGGGCCCTCCCCAAAGTGCCTACATATTAAAGGCCTGGTCCTCAGCCACAGTGTTATTAGGAAGTTGTGCCTTTAAGGGGTGGAGCCTAATGGGAGGCCAGAAGTTGTCAGAAGGCACCTTTGAGAATACCTGGGGACTCAGTTGGTCTCCCTCTGTTTTGCTTTCTAGGCATTTATTTCTGCCTGACACCCTCCCTTACTTTTTATTTATGTGTGTGTATGCTTCTGTGTGGCTGTGGGCCATGCGTGTGTAGGTGCCTACAGAGGCCAGAAGAGGGTGTCAGTCAGTGGAGCTGATTGTGAGCCCCTGGTTATAAGTGATGGCAACCAAATTCAGAGCAGAAATTGTTCTTAACAAAAATGTTCTCTAGCACCCTTATGTACTGATGAAGATGAGAATTCAATTGTTGGGCATCAAGAAGATGACTAACTTGCTTCAAAAAATTCTATGCACATAAAACTCTCTCCAGAGAGAAAGCAACTTCTTATTGTCTCTATTTATGTGCCACCTGCAAGGCCTGGACGACCTTGGGTACCCGGTGGGGAGCTGTGACTATGAGAACTGCAAGGTGACAGCAGAGCAGCTTCTCTGGGCAGCCATCTGGTCTCTGCTCCCGCACTGCAGAATGAATGGTTTCTATGGTTTCATGGAGACATCCAGTGAGTTGCAAGCCTAAGTCCCTTTGAAGGTCCCTGAGGTAAAGTTCTTGACAGGGACACATGAAGGATTACGGGTTTGGATCTAGGAACGTAGATGGAGGCGGAGGAGAGACTGTGTATTGTCAGTACCTGCGTAACAGGGTTAGCGCTTTGAACCTAAGCTCACGCTGCCTCAGCCAAGGCACACAGAAAAGTGTGAGTTCAAGCGAGAGGGGCTATACAGTACCTTTCGGATGACCCATTGCATCAGGCCCACATAGTACAGCACAGACATCACAGTACTGAAGAAAACCACGATCGGCAGGATCTAGGGGCAGGGCGGGGGCACAAACGTGGTCACTGGCCAGTGCAAAGAGTACCCTGAGTTTGCTACTAAGCTTCCCCTCTGCCTCCCTCTTGGCCCTAGAAGCGTCAGAATAGAAGCAAAGTCCCTCTGAACAGAAGACGGCTTCCATCAAGCACCCGCCCTCTGGACAGTCTCCTAAAGTTCACGTGGTGGATATTTAAATATCTCCTAAGTTCAATGGCGTTGAGTCTGGGATGGAGTCTTTGGGAAGACGAGGAAGTCAGGGACTGCAGAGATTGCTCAGTGGTTAAGGACACTCGCTGCTCTTCTAGAAGACACAGTTTCAGTTCCCAGCACCCACATGGCAACTTACGATTGCCTGTGACTCCTCCAGTCCCAGGGGAGTTAGCGTCCACTTTTGGTCTCTGTGGGCACTGTATGTATGTGATGCAGAAGTAATGGCCCCCTTCTTGGAGCCTGCCCCTGCCTTACCCCTCGCCCTTCCCCACTATTCCATAGCTAATTGGTCAGAGGCAAGATGTCAGTAAGATTGTGCAAGAGCTAATTTAGAAAAATCTATTAATAATACCCCTAAAAACACATTTTGTCTCAGCATTAGTGTTCTTTACGTTTTAAAGGGATCCCCATGACAGCGCCCCCTATCAGCAGGAAGCAGTTTGGAAAGAACGACGCCCAAATTCCCAAATGTTGTTTACAAATGTTTGTTTTCATTTAAGTGGGCTTGGTTATAAATGGTTAATGACCACAACCAATCTTTTTAAAGGTAAAAAAGGGGATTATGGTATAGATATGAATACTTCGTTTTTGGATTTTCATTTATTGATACAATTTAAGGTCAATTTTGTGATATGTATATTTCCCCTTTTGTTTAGGCATTGTGTTTATATGCCTCATTTAGAAATGTAATGTATAATTCAATACAGATTATAGATAGTACCTATGATAGTCAGATCTTATAGTTAAGTTAGTTAAGATTTCTCGATATACAGACATGCATTTGAGATAAATAGGCATTCTTCAAAACTTTCAAAGACCTGCAGAATATGGCATTTAAAATGGTTTAGGGTTTTTCTTGACAGTGAGACATAAATGATCCTGGCAACACCACCTGTGTCAGAAAGGAAAATGGACATTGAAGAAATGGGTTATGAAGTTTGCTTTCAATATGGCAAGACTAGCCATTTGGACAAGATACTGCTCTTGTCTGGACTGTTTGACTTTATGCTGTATAAACTGGACATGCAGGACCCCAGGAAAGTGACTGCTGATAGAAGGTGGACATTGCTACAGGGTTCCTGCTTCATGGAAGAGTCTGTCAGACAGTCTGTAGGACACAGAGAAAAGTGACTAACAAACTGCCAATACAGGCGGACAGTTTAAAGTTTCCTGCTTTGCTGAGGAGTCTGCCAGACACACTATGGCCTATGGGCTGAAGATGGAACATTACAGAAGAACTTCAGGTGACTGACCAGGAGAGTTGTCTCTGTCATTTCTAGAGTTTATATACTATCCTTCTGTGGTCTTTGAGGGAGTTGAAGACAGATAGTTATGGTTATAGTTTTCCTTAGTTAGGCTTAAAGATAAGTTACATATAGGACTTTAGACTCACAAAGATAGGATAGATGATGGAATATTTTCTTCAAATCTTGCTAAATGTTAATGGACTAAATATTATTAACTGTGATTCTTATTTGATAACTGTTGTGTGATATATTTTGCTATATTAAGGTTAAAACCCTTCTTTCATTTAGACAGAAAAGAGGAGATGATGGGAGATGCCATTCTGTAAATATGTTTCTCATCCTGGATAATGAATAAAGCACTGTTGGCCAATAGGAAAGCAAGGTAGGCGGGACTAGGAGACAAGGAGGATTCAAGGAAGTAGATAGGAGGAGTCAGCATGGAGAGACTGGCGAGAACAGAGGTCCGGGCCCACTCTCTGGTAAGATGAGACCACGTGGAAATACTTAGATATTAATCTATTAAGAAATGGGTTAATAATTAAGACAGAGCTAGCCGATATGAAGCAAGTAACTGTCCAACAGCTTTATATCAAACACAGAATCTCAGTGTGTTAATTGGGGCTGGCGCCATGGTGGATCCAGATCGGCAGGAAAAACCTTACTCCTTACAATGGGCAGGCACAGAAAGGTGTTAGTTACCTTAAACGCGAAGAAGTGGTCTGTGTACTTCTCACCGAAGACAAACATAGCTCCAGTATCAGTGTACCCGAGAAAAGTCTGAGTTTGAGAAGGAGAGAGGTCATTGCAAACCATCAATCATTACTACAGACCACAGGCGAACCTGAGGGTCTGCAGAGGATGGATGAGGGCCAGTAAACTCATGAATCTGATACTTAGTCTGACTTGTTCTGACTGGGGTCATGGGCTCCCATAAACCCTGGGCGCTATATGAGGATGACCCTAGTTACCACCAGATGCAGACGAAAGCCTTTTCTTTATTTTGGGGAGCTATCTCAGAAGTGTGGCACCCCTTGGGCAGTGATGGAGCAATGGGAATAAGGGCACGGTCATGGTTGACACAGGTAGGGGGCAGAGGCAGGCTTAATCAACTACATAGATGAGTATATTTGACACAAGCAGCAAGCCTGATTTGTGCTATGAAGCTAATCTAAGAGTACAATATTACAGATAAATTATCTACTTAAAAAAATGTTCTGAGTGCTACATCCAAATATGAAGGAGTAGAAGAACACAAAGAATTCTCTTTTTGTTTTTTGTTTTTTTTTTGACAAGGAGTAGTGAGGCTCTGGTTGGCTTCCCACCTTCCTTATAGCCAAGGCTGAATTTGAATTCCTGACCATCTGTCCCAGCTAACCCAGCTTGTCTTTTGAACTGCTCACCTGAACTTGTTTTCCCAGCCAATCAAAAGCAATAAATCCAGGCTTAGTCCTCAGAATTAAGAGCCCAAGAAGAAACTGCAATCCAATTCCCCAAAAGACGGGCCTCCAGTAAACCTGCAGAGAAAGGTGGAGGCTGTTAAATATTGTGCTAACTTCACCATTGTAATGAGGCTTAAATGAACAACCAGCATTGGGCACTTGGAGACTAAGCTTTCAGAAATGACAACAGACCCTTTCATTTGTAGTTAACCTTATTAGAAAGTTAGTGGTGACCTCAACATAGATGTCCAAGGGGCCACTGTCCCCTTATGAGTGTTTCCACATGTGACTGGGGATGCCCAAACAGCCAGGAGCAGAGGACTTTTTTCCAATTGGTTAAATTTGTTTTTTTGACAATTTCACACATGTACATGATTATGCTGATTACTCTCCCTCGATAGCCTTGCCTATCTCTCCCACCCCGTCTATCCTGTTTATCCTTACAGACCTCTTTCTCACACTCCAATTTGCTCTGTTTCATAACTCACTGACTTTAGACAGGGTCATCTGTGTGACCATGGATTTGGAGCTATCCATTGAGTCTGGTGGGTTCAGCGGTGGGCACACAAATGAAGACAATGAATGACCTTGATTCTGCCAGGATTTACGAGTAGTATCTATCAATTCTGTGGCCGTTGATTTTAATCATGAATTTGACACACATATAACTATCTGGGAAGCGTCTCAGTGAAGGATCAGGTTGACTTGTGGCCATATTCCTTAGGTGTTATCTTTATTACATTAATTGCTGTGGGAAGGTTTTCCCTACTGTGGGTGGCACCATTGCCTACACAGGCTCTGCTGAGCTGTGTAAGGGTGGAGGAGGGAACTGAGCTCAAGCATGGATCCACTGGTTTCTTGCTCTCTGCTCTTGAAGGTGAATAATGTGACTAGCTGCTTCAAGCACCTGCCATTTTAATTTTCCCACAATGATGGAATTGTGAACAAAATAAGCCCTTTCTTCCTGAAGTTGATTTTGTTGAGGTATTTTGTGAAAGCAACAATGAAACAAGATAGAACCCATACAAGTAAGCACGATGCAATGGTTGTGTCATGCCTAGGATGGATGGTATTTCAAAACCTTTCTCCTTGTCTCTGGGTCTATCCTTTCTTCTTGCCGTCTCCTCCACGGTGTTCTATGAGCATCTGAGGGGATGTCATAAATGTCTTATTTAGAGCTGGACATTCAGCCATCACTCATTCTCACTACCACAGGCAGCTGCAAGTCTGCATTTACCCACCACTCAATACCAGGAGAGACTTCAGAGAACCTTTAGACAGAACCATTCTGTAGTATGTATGAAAGTGTGTATGCATGCATGCATGCATGTGTATATATATATATATATATATATATATATATATGCGTACATGTATGTCAGGGCTGCATCCACTCTTTATAAACCTTGGTACAAAACCTGAGAAAATGTGTAACTATGAAATCCTGATGATCTAGACACAAAGTATCATCTGTGAGACAAAAATTGTAAATATTACATGTACAATTATTTTTCCACTTGGAAAATGGAAAGGTAGAAATTGAGTTTTCTGTGTTCAGAGCTTGTTTGTCTGGCAATTTATAAGTGAATTGGATGAAATTCTGCCTACTTGAGGGACTCTTGTTCCACAATAAAGGGAGCAATGACTTCTAATGCAGACATAGGATGACAAGAAATGGATTGTCATCTACATTTATCTCAGAGCAGAAGCGAGTGACCTAAAAACTTTGGATTGATGGAGGTGGCCTTATGAGCAGGGCAAATCATTTTCATTGTATTAGGTCAACTTGGTCTCTGCTGAATGCTTTTTCTGTGGGTCATCCTTTTAGCCAGAAAGAACTTCTACAGCCTGCATTGAGATTTGCAGGTAAAAGCTTTTAGTCTCAGAATTCATACCCATCTCATGGGCTGTATGCTAATTTAAACAAAGGGGGGTGGGTGAGAATTGGATACAACATGGAAGGAATGTATAAGGACAAATTTTAGGAATGAAAGAGCCCAAATCATAAGCAGAATTTTTATAAAGCATAGGATTAAAGGCTGGAGATATATCTCTGTGGGCAGAGGGCTTAGTTAGCATGTGCAGACCCTTCCATTCCACCCTCAGGCCCCTGTACTGGGCATTGTGGCACCTGCTTTGAACTCCAGCACTGAAGAAGAAGGAGGGTAAGAAGTTCAAGGTTATCCTTGAGAGAGTTTGAGGCTAGCATGGGGTAGATAATTCCTGTCTCAAAACTAAAGAAATACAAGATTGACTGTGCAATGGATCAAAGGAATGACTTTTCCCGTGTGTTTAACAGTAAAGGAATGTTTTACTTGTGTAACTGGAGATTACTAGAAATAAAACAGCTCAGACAAGCACCCTCACCACCTTAATGACTCATGTGAGGGGAAATTTGCATTGTTAGATTCTTTCACATTCATTATTTTGGAGTACATAACCAGTCTGTACTTACTCTGTTAGGATGTTTGGAAAAGAGAAATAACAGGATAATGTACATTATGAGTCCACCAAAGGATATCAGCTGCTGTTTGCCCAATTTGGCAGTGTCAAGAATCAACCAGAAAATCACGGCCAGGATCAGCGAGCTCCACATCACCCTGTAAGAATGGAAGGAAGGAGCTGCTGTCCTTTACTGTGACAACTTAAGTAGCATGATGTAACAAATGAAGATGGATAATGAGACAACACACTACAGAACCAGGAAGCTGTGTGCTTCCCACAGCTGTGGCACGGGCCCTCACAAGTTCAAAGATACCATCAACATCATAGAGGAGGATGGGTGTTCGTACCGGAGTCTGGTCTCTGTTTAAAGGGTCTTTGAGAGACATGTTCGTCTTCCTTTGTATTTTTGGGGATGGGTGTTGTCTTCCTCCCTTCATGAGAGAACATGTTTTCTGTATTTGGGGTACCTCAGCAGAGCTGAATTAGACTTTGGGTCCTATTTTCCTACATGAGAGTCTGGTAGACATGATAGGTGACTCATGGCTCCGATGGCAACGAGGAAGGCCATTGTGTGGTGAGGTACTACCCTGACGAACTAGACCAAAGGTGGGTGAAGGGTCCAGGGTAGCCCATTTGGTTTTCAATGGGGAGAACCAGTGCAGAGAACTACCCAATAGGGCCCTCTCTAAGGAGAGGAGATCCTACAGTGAGGAGTCACTGTAGGATGTGGGTTCCTTTGAGGGGCAGTCAGGTCCCCAGGAGCCAGTCCCGTTCCTAGAATAGAAGCCCCTGGTGGGAATGTTCTTCTGTGTATATGTTTGTCTTTTTGGTTGATGAGTAAAACACTGATTGACTAGGAAGTATGATAGGTAGGACTAGGAGGTAAGGAGGATTTGGGGAAGTATAGAGAGGAGTCATCATATGATCCCAGGAAGTAATATAGCTGGGCAGAATCTGCCACAAGATAACCATAGAGGTCTGGAGGTCTATACAGATAGACAGGAAATGACATAGCTGGGCAGACTCAGAATATAAGCAGGGACAAACAGGAAATCGCTCTCTGTGTAGAAGCTGAGCAGTCACGATGTCAGATGGCGGAGGAATAACACCATGCTGGGTATTACTGGGTAAGTCACAGCCTCGTGGCTATACATAGATTAGTAATTAAGACAGAGCTAGCCAATAAGAAACGCTAGTCACTGGCCAACAGCATTATAATTAATATAAGCTCATGTGCTTATATATTATGTGGAGGGCACCCGGACTTGCTGGGCCAGAAACCACAGGTGACAAGCTCTTTCCTGAGTCAGAGCTACTGTGTCTTCATCTTGGTACTGGCTTTGAGGTAAGACAAAAACCAGGGCATGGGGAGAAAAAAAAAGACAGGGCGTTTATCGGAGTCTTCTCCAGCCAGGGATGGAAAGAACATCACTGGCTCTTTAGCTAAGGGTAAGCAGAGAGGTCATGACTTTTACATTTTTGTATAACATGGACTATAGATGATATTTCTCACTAAATAAAATGGGATAAGGGAAAGAAAAATGTCACGATTTTAGTACATGGCTTACAACCCCCCCCACCAAAAAAAAACCTTGTGTGATGTGTCTTCAGCATCAAGGGGAATTTTAGAGATCTAGGGTTTTTGTTTTTGTTTTGTTTTTCTTTTTTGAGGCAGGGTTTCTCTGTGTAGACCTGGCTGTCCTGGAACTCACTTTGTAGATCAGGCTGGCCTCGAACTCAGAGTTCTGCCTGCCTCTGCCTTCCCAGTGCTGGGATTAAAGTTGTGTGCCACCACTGCCTAGCAAGATCTAATTTTTTAAGGAGCAAAAAGCATAGAAAGAAATGAGAGGAAATGAAAACCTAATCTAAAAATTATTGCATTCAATAGCCAAAATAAATGCAAATAAGGGACACCAGTTGGTCCAACTTAATATATAAAAATAATGTTTATGTTCATTGTGCATTGAAAACACACACACACACACACACACAACACACACAAAACCCTGGGTTATATCATCTTGGTTTTCATTTCTTATTTGAAAACTATATGTAAGTAAACTAGTAATAATAAATAATAAGTGAAAGAAAACATTCAAGAGTGAGTGCAATTCTTGATTTCTACTTTGTAAAAGAATGTAATGAGATTATGCAGAACTATGCATAAGGAAAAAGGCTAGGGAAAAATGCAAGCTCACATTGCCATCAACCCTTTCTGTTTTGAACTTATCAACCGATCTCTAATCAGCATTGAAAAAGGATGGCACTGTGCAGTGCAGCTCTTCTCTGACCTCGGGCATGACAGACATTACTAGCTGATCATGATCTCACTCTACAGACAGGGTGGAAAGAGAGCTAAAGACATCCCTGCATAACTAAAACGTTGCACCACCCTGTATTCTTGGCTAAATTTTAGTAAGTAGATATCTAGGTGTCCCTCCAATGCAGACATCAGGATGACCACATGGTCTCTGGACATTTGCCGTTGAATCAAGGGGCTCGATGGTCCACTCGAATAATTTCCATATGACACATTCATTATCTCACTCTGGTCTTGTCTTCTTGTTTGTCCAATGGAAGCATGTGACAACTGCTCTTGAAGTTATTTCTAGCATCAATGTCCCATAAATGAGGATGGAATTTTAGAACACATTTTGGGAACAGTGTCAGAGAGAGCCAAACATCCTCCCACTGCTGTAGGGGGAAAAGTGGTATTTACCATTTCAGCCAGAACCAATGCCTGTGGAGAAGCCTTTTGCCTGGAGACAGGAGCTCACCGATTCGATGCTCATATTTAGCCATCAAGTGATCCCAGATAACAAAGAAGATGGCAACCACGGTGATCACAAAAAGAGGAAGGGCTCTGTGGAAGTTCAGTACACAGGCTGCAATCACCAGAGCCAGGAAACCTGTCCAGGAGGCAAATTCAGATGGTTAATATTACCAAACCAGTGGTCCTGGGCTTCCAGCCCGGGTCTGACTTAGATGAGGGATGGCTTAATTAAGCACCCATCGAATGCAGGGTTGCTTTGGTACAGGTAGAGCCTTCTTTAGCTGAGCCTTCTGCTTTTCTTTCTAAAGAGTCACCAAGGTTCACCATGATGGAGAAAGGGTGGTGTCTGTCTGTCTTCTGTTTGCTTTTTCTCCTTTATAGTGCCTGCTCAATTCTTGGAACCTGACACTTGGTCATTGTTGCTCCATTTAAAGAACAGGTTCCAGGATAAGAATTCCAGGTGTGGTGGTGCACACTTTTAATCCCAGTACTTGGGAGACAGAGACAGTCATATCTCTGTGAGTTCAAGGCCAGCCTGCTCTACACAATGCGCTTCGGGATTCCACAGGGTATACAGAGAAACCCTGTCTCAATAAAATGAAATTAAAGTTCCTTATTCTACAAGCTCAACAAACAACGGTCCACAGGCTAAGCCTGACTTGCCGCACGCTCAGTGGCATTTGTTCTGTGTGCTTGTGCCCTCCCATTAACTGGTGTTGCCATGTAGCTATGCTTTCTACTGACTTATTATCTGCAGTTGCACTTTCGTTACAGTGGAAAGTTTGAAAAATGCCAGACCTAGGAGACTGTGACCTTCCAGAGGGAAGATGGCCAACCCTGGCTGCTCCTGTCCCAGCTGTTTGACCCTTAGCACAGCTTTGGCAGTGTAGCGTTGCTATACGAGTGCCTCACGGGCTCATGTGAAGGTTCACATTTTATAGACAATGTTTTGTTTTTGTTTTTTCAACAAGCTTTGAAGACTTTTGCTTTGGGAAGATGAAAATCAGGGGACATTCTCATGCGCCTGTAGGCTAACGTGTGGGCCAAAGGGGTCTGGGTCTCACCCTGTATTCACTCCTACAATCAATTTTTGTTGTTGTTTAACCTTGTGTTCACCGCAAAGTCTGCCAGCTGCCCAGGGACTCTGGATTTGCCTTAGCCAATGTGCTTCTTCTAAAAATGTCACAATAACAAGGGCTCTACGAGCTCCTCGAGTAAGGTAGTGCTATGGTTTGAATGCATCCCTCTGAAGTCTGTGTGTTGGAGACCTAATCCTCACATTCATATAGTGACAGTAGCAGAGCTTCAGGGAGGTGACAGGAATCGGACGAGGTCCTGAGGGTCAAGCCGCCATGATGTCACTAGTGGCTTTGTATAGAGAAATAGAGACACAGGTCAGCGTGTGTTATCTCACGTTGCGAAGCTCCCCCCCTCCCCTGTCAACACGGCACCTTGACCCTGGACTCTGCTCCAGGACCTGAAAGACCTCTACGATTGAGAAATGTAGTATCCAGAAAATTCACTAAGACAGTATGTGACTCAAAAAAAATTCTGGTTGGCCTCATGAACAACCCAGGCAAGCAACCTGTGTAGGGTTTCCCTTCTGGGGCTTATTGATCGACTTCACCACTTGTCTGGGTGAGTCTGTAAGGTCCAGGGGAAGGGACAATCTCTCTCTCTCTTTATACAGAAAGCAAACACTTAAAACAAACAAACAAACCTGAGAAAAGACAACAGAATCCCCACCCCCCATTAGTACTCACCAGTCAAGAGAATGCCCCCGATGATGCGCCGAAGAATGGTTCTGTGCTTTCTACAAAACTCACAAATCATATCATACTTTCTTTCCAAACACCTGCAACATAAAAAAAGCAAAAGACCCACAGGGTAAACACCCAAACGTGAGGTATCTGGGTGGGAAGCCTGGGCTAGGCTTTGTAAGCAGCGCAAACAGGTTTCCGAAGCCATGTCTCAAAGCAGAAATGGAACATCAATTTTAGACAGACACTGGCCGTGCCATGGCTTAACCACTGGATGAGTGTGCCAAGCTCTGAGGGAGAGAACAGAATGGGGATGGGTAACCATTATGTACCACCAGGTACCATTACCGTGGGAAGTATTCATGATTAGGAGAGCCTGTGCTGAGAATCTGAAATGCCACTCTAGAAGACACTAGGTGAATCCAAGTGTGGTAAAGACTAAGCTTCCCGGGGTCTAGTTCAGGAAAAGCCAACAATGCTTTTCCTTCGGTGGAGGACATAGTGGTTTGCTTTGTTTTTAAAGTAGCTCTGGTAAAGGGCCACTTTTAACAGACCCTCCATCCACTGTGCATTACTTTATCAGATCTTTTAGTGGCAGAGAGAGTGTGTAATTCGTTACAGCAATCTGACCCTATAATACAAAGTTGCTGGCATAGACGACACTTGATTCATTTGGTTGTCTAGGCTGAACAACTCTCAACTAGCTGGTGACTGCTTCAGTGGCATGAGCAGGTGAACCCGAGGTCACGTGATTCCCCGAGAGTCTATTCCAGCCCCCTGGACCAGAGCCTCCTGCAGTAAATGAAGGACAGAGTTTGGCAGATGTTCTTGGTGGAACATGTGTACCCAGATCTCTCAGCGCAATCCTAACTGGTGTGGGAGACATTGCTCTGAGGTATAAGAATAAAAGTTCCTCAGGAACTGGATGCTCGGTGGTGAGGAGAGCACACTACTCCTGAGGAGGGACCTGGGTGTGGCTCCTGGCACCTACGTGGTGGCTCACACTCCTCTATAATGGCAGCTCTGAGGAAGCTGATGACCTCTACTGGCGCTGGGCACACACACGGTGCACAGACACACACATGCACTAAGAAATAGGGAAATAATTAAAAGTTCTTTAGAGATACAGAAATGTAAACAAAATTTTACATAGGAATTTAAAAAAATGGACCCATGAATTATGATACAGGTCTGAAGTTCCAGGTCATTTTCTTCCAAGAGGACTGACTTTGGGTAGGTTACTTCTTCAAGCTTCATTTTACTAACCCAAAATCAAGATGGTGATACTGCCTCAACCAGGAATGATGGCTCACACCCATGACCATAGCATTTGAGAGCAGGCAAGAGGGTGGTAATGGAAATTTCAAGGTTATGCCTGCTGCCTCTCCTGTCTTCCGTGATTGTAAAAACTTGGGGCTGATTTAAGGCTACAAGGTAAGGAAGGCAACAGTTTAAACATTCTCACTACATGTTTCTATTTTGAGTGCATATGTGTGGCACAGAACAAGTGTGGAAGCCTGAGGACAGCTTCCAGTGTTTGGTCCTCTCCTTCCAGAAGGCGGGGAAGTCCTGGGGTCACCAGGCTGGGGAGCAGGTGCCTCCTGAGATGTCAGTGAGTTTCAAGAATTCAATTGCTATTGACTGATATGGAGAAGATGAATTGGCTCCTTGTGTGTGGGTTGGAGCCACTAGTTAGTGGTTTGTACCTTTAATGAGAAGACTGTCCTGGGTAAATGTAAGAACAAACACTAGGTAACTACAGCAACATCTTTTTGACCTGACCACACCTATCATCCCCAAAAGCCATTCATTTTTTTTCCCCAAGAGGTGATGGGTGGGTGGGGCTAGAGGTGGTGACAATTTCTAACGAAGCATAGGGAAATAATTGGGAAGAGAATAAAACAAAATGACAAAGCATGGAACACACAGGGGTGGATGTGCTGCGTCCCTGGCTTAAGAACTGTACCCCTTTTGATGCTCGTCTTGGCCATCACCCTCCACGTCGTCAAAGTCTCTGTCTCCCGGAAACTCCTCCTGCTCAATCGTGATCTGCCTGTCACCCTGGAGATCAAACGTTGGAGCAGAGAGAACAATGAGAATCTGGGCACCAGGGGCCCTGTGCTCCTCAGCTTAGTACTCAGGCAACAGTCCTTTTAACCGCGCCTACTGCACGGACACTTCCCCCTTTTATAATCACAACACATTCGGGGTCACACATAAGATCTCTTTCCTCCCAGAGGAGCCTCCGGTAACCCCAACACCACCTTTTTTGTTTTTTTGAAAGGGGGACACGTTTGCATTTCTGGTTTTGTTCCTGTTTCTGCTGTAACCATTCAACAGTAGGCACAGCTCTGGTTTGGGGAAAGGCTAAATGAACTTAACAGCCAGGCTGTGTAATTCTCCCTCTGCACGGAACCAGCTCATTGCCAGAGTACTGAAGCCAAACCAAAGCCTGGCTTGCAGGTATGAACACCTGCTTCATCCTTCAAGGGCTGACACACTCCCCTCAGGACTCACAAGAGCATTCATTGCCTTTGTCCCGATGACCTAAGAGTCACATGCACCCGAGCTACTTCCCATGGACAGCTTTTCTGTAAACAGTATGAGCTTTCTCCTAAATATCCATGACCTATCCCGTTCCCAGAATAGCTCCCTCTTTCCATTCCACAATAATTCTTCAGCTGGAGAACTTGGCCATTGTAGCTGGGGACCGCTCAGGTGCACCTTGGCTCTGGACACAAACTAGCAGATGTATGTAGTGTACAGATGGTTTCAGTGCCGTAAAATTCCCTCTGCTCACCCGCACTTTCTCCCTAAACCCTGGAAACCACTATCCCTTCATTCCTCTACGGCCTGGCCATTTCCAGGATGATGCCACTGGGTATGGGTGTCCCTGCCTTAAGCTGGCCTCTTCCACTCCACAGTCTGCATTCACAGCACCACGTCCACTTGTCTGGATGGACCACCGTTTATCAGATTTACTGATGGGCATCTGGGCTGCTTCAAGGTTTGCCAATTATCCGTAAAAGCTGCTGTAAGCACCCGGGGTGGTTTTCATGTGGACAGGTCTGTTTGCTGGAGGACACGTGTTGAAAAAACTTGGTATATTAAAGGAGGTAAGCAGTAAATAAGGTGGACAGTGGATTCCCAACATCGACGTGCAGGAGGTGTGCTGGCTTAAACAGGCTACGTTCCAAGATGCACCGACTCTTTCCCCTTGGATGAAAGACCAATTTTAATCTTCCAGTTTTGCCGCAATAATTCTTCCCGGTTTTAGGTACTCTGGGTGATCTACATGGCTAATTTCTCACTTCCCCTTTTTTTCAGTGACAGAAGAAGAAATTCTGCCTAAATCTAACAACACAGAATTCCTTGCCGGATGCAGTGCCCATGCATGTCATCCCACCACTGGGGATGGTGAGGTCAGAGGGTTAGGAGTTCAATGCCATCCTCTGTTGCATATCGAGTTTGAAGCCAGCTTGGGTCACATGAGATCCTGTTGCCCCAAAACAAACAATACTTAAAAAAACAAAATAACAATAAAATAAAAACAATAAACCTCAACCCCAAACAAAAAGACTTGAGCGAGCTAAAGTTTTGTGAGGGGCTGTTGGGCTCCGTGGAACCGAGGGAGGGGCATCTCACGCGCCTCCTTCGCCTTCGCAGGCAAGCTGGCTCTTCTTTTTCTGCCAGGAGGCCTCACCCCAGGCCGGCCCTGCTCCTGCCTCTGGCCCAACACTGGGCTTTTTGCCTGGGGCTGGTTTCCCTTTCAGGGAACTCTGAGACTGTAAAAGTAAAATTGTTGTTAAGGTATGAGTGCCCTAGACACACTAACCACACTCCATTCGCAGGAGGCAGTGTCACCATGGCAACCGTTCCCCAACCATCCTCCAAGTCTGCCCCACCTGCTTGGCATTTCCTTGTTCCTTGCTCTGTACCACTCTGCTCCTGACGGTGCTGTTTCCCAGTGTGTCCTGCTCTTCAAGGTCTTCATCCTAAGAACAGAGCAGACACAGAGTCAGAGCCCAAACACAATTGTCCTTCAGTGAAGATTCCAGGAAGGGTTGTGAACAGTGGCAGGAGGCGATGAGCTTCGGTGTTCCCACGAGGCACCCGCTTCAAGGAACTGCCAGGGAGCCATGGGGTTCTAAGGAAACGGATGAATTTTGCTTTGCTTTGCTCTGACGGGAAAGCCACGTGCTCCACATTGAGTAAGGACAGCAGCTCCTCACCTTCAGCCCTGACTGCAGAGCCAGTACCAGGGGGACCTGGGTGGGGCCCTAACCAGGGCAAGTTGGTCACCTAGCTGAGGGACCACCCCTCAGGCAGGCAGATCCACTTTTAAGTCACGCTCAAGTGATGGGAGAAACAATTATCCTAGAAGACAATGTACTTTTCCTTCCCAGAATTCCCAGCCCTAGTGCGGACATGAGCCCCAACTCTGAGTAATTCTGAGAAACAAAACCTTCCCTTTCTTTCGGTCTCTTTTCTGCTCACGATTTCCCTAACTCACTGGGCTTCTTTCTCTAAAGTTTCCTTCTCTGCAGTGTGGCTGCTCACCTTCATGCCGTTTAACTCCACTGACTTAGCTTCTTCTCTCCTGGGTAGATGCCAAGATTTACAGCTCCATGTCCCAGGTCCCAGGGTTTCAATTTCAAACTCCAATAAAACTGTCCCAGTGGCTGCTCTTAAATAATCTCCCTTCCTGCCCCTCCCCTCCCCTCCCTCCCTTCCTTTTTCTTCCCTCCCTTCCTAACTGATATATTAGAAAGACAGGTCCTCCTCAAACACTCCAGAGAGCTACAGAACATGGCATTTAACGACACCCTCCATCCCTTCTTCCTCTGCCCTCACTATGTAACCCTGCTGGCCTGGAACTCACTCTGTAGCCCAAGCTGAACTAGAACTCAGAGAGTTCTGCCTGCCTCAGTCTCTTGAGCCTGGATCACAGGCCCGTTGCACTGATAGCCCTCTGGTGGGCTCTTCACTATTCTGCATTCGTGGTTCTTACATTTTCCTTAACATTGAGTTGAAAACAGCAGGTTCCAGGGTCCTGCATTACATGTGTGAATAAAATCAGGGTTCCTAAAATGCAGCAAGTGGGGGATGGAGAGGGAAGACTTCACCAAGGGCCTGAGGGAAGCAGCTCATTCCCAGACCAAGCAGAGAGCCTTCCCTCAACACACTGACTCTCCCCTGGGCTCGGGTTCTGTTTGTCATCATTGTTCCTTTTTACTTTTAACTGTGCGTGACGCCTCGCAGGTCACAGGTCGTATTGTTCTAAACTTCAGTTGTCTCTTTCCGACTGCCTCCCTTCTAAGGCTTCAGCCTTTGATGCTGATCACTCCTGCCCCCTGCTGGCGGCATCTGAAATCTTTGCCGACTGTGGGTGTCAATGATCTTATGTGTCTGGGGGTGTCCCGCATGCTGCTTTGCAGGCTCCCAGAGAGAACCCTGAATGGGTTTTCCCTTGTGTGCTGGGACTGTTCTGTCCGGTGAACTCACTCCTTGGTCTTTATATTTCCAGGAAGAAAAGCGCCTCCCACTCGAAGATTTAAAACAGAAATAAGGGGCTACTGTGGGTGTGGGTGGGTGGGAAATGACTAGCTTTTCTCTTTCCCTTCAAGCTGGAACTGTGGGGTTGTAATAGAGGCTTCTAATCACTTATTAGTCGCCATTTCTTCCTATCTATTTAGGTCAGATTACCGATACCTTTGTGTCTCACACCTATAAGCATGCCTGTTCTCAGGGTAGAACCTTCCAGGACACTGACTGGGTTGGGAAGTTGTGGGAATCACACGCATGTTTCAAAGTAATGAAGACATACATAATAAATAAGATTTAAATGTATTTAAGATATTAGAGATTTAATATCTCATTTAAAATGTCTCTGATAGAGCATGTAGCCATCTCTATTAACAGCTGTGCTGGCTGGCTTTGCGTGTCTGCTTGACACAAGCAAGGGTCAGCAGACAGGAAGAGTCTCAGTTGAAGAGATGCCTCCATGAGATCCAGCTGTTAGCGATCAGTGGGGGAGGGCCCAGCCTACTGTGGAGCCATCCCTGGGCGGGCGGTCCTGGGTTCTATGAGAAGCAGGCTGAGCGAGCCAGGGGAGAAAGCCAGTGAGCACGGTTCCTCAATGCTCTGCATCAGCTCCTGCCTCCAGATTCCGGCCCTGTCTGAATTCCTGTCCTGACTTCCTTCAGCGATGAGCGGTGACGTGACTGTGTAACCGAATAAACCCTTTTTCCTCTCCAACTTGCTGTGTAGCCATAGTGTTTCATTGCAGCAATAAAAACCATAACACAACACTTAAAACTAAAAAGGAACAACAACATTCCAAGCAAATAAAACCCGACGTCCAGGGGAGAGTCCAGGGAAGGCTCTGCTTGTCTGGGAGAGAGCTGTGTTTCCCTCAGCCCCGAGCTGAAGTCTTCCCTTCCCATCCCCCACTTATCACATCTTTAAATTAAGAAACATTTATTTTAAAAGTTTTCCAGGTGTGATGCCACACACCTTTAATCCCAGCAGGGAGGCAGAGGCAGGTGGACATCTGTGAGTTCAAGGCCAGCCTGTTCTACATGGTGAGTTCCAGGACAGCCAGGGCTACGTAGTTAGATCTTATTTCAAAAATGTGTTTATTATCCATGAGTGTTTTGCTTCATGTATGTAGTGCATCATGTATGCATGCAGTGCTCATGGAGGCCGGAAGAGAGACTCAGGTCCATGGAACTGGAGGTGGGGGACACTGAATGGCCCCCTCTGCAGGAGCAGCCAGGGCTGAACCTGTGGGCCATGTCCAGCCCCTAAGCAGATGCATTTGTGAGCATCTTGGTTGTGCCTCTGGAACCATCTGAACCAGAATCTGGAAAGTAATTAGTGTGAGAAGCGTACGTGTGTTCAGGAGCAGAGGCTTCAGTCCCGAGGCCGTTTCGCGCTGTGATCGTTTAGAGTCTTAAACAGTACGTGAATGGTTTGAACATTCTTCTTAGTTGTCTAAAATCCTACTTCATGGTAAAACTGTATTGGTTTATGACTATGTTTGCTTTGTGACTATAGAAACTTCACGGAACTTATCACATTGGAACATAGAGTTTGGGGTAATCTCACTCTGTTCCTAGGCTATTTGGCTCCAGAATAAACAACCTCTTCCCCTTGTAGGTGAGAGCTATTTTTTTTCATCTTTCTTCAATTGGAGCCAATGCAAATGCCACTGCCATGAAAAACACGTACAAACAAGTCCCTTGCTGGGACCTGGTGTCAGCTGGAGACGATCTTACAGGCATACCTGTGAGCGACGGTGCTGGGAGTTAGCCTAGGTGGGAAGACCCACGCTAACTGAGGACTGCACCATGCCCTGGGCGTGGCTCCTGGGCTGCAGGGGAAGAAGGAAGCGAGTTGAACACCAGCATTCACGTCCTTGATGGTGGGCGTCATTCATAGACCATCTGCTTCCAGCTCCTGCTGCCTTTGTGTCCCTGCCCAATGCATAATAAATAAACTCTGCAAGCCAAAGAAACCCCTTCCCTCCTGTCTTCCCTAAACTGCTTCCTTTGTGTTTGAGACAGGGTAGCTCTGACTGTCCTAGAACTCACGGTGTAGACCAGGCTGGCCTTGAACTCAGCCTCTCCCTCCATACTGGGATTAAAGGCCACCAATGGGCCTAAACTGCTTTAGTCATTTTATCACAGTGACAGGAAAAGGGGTTAGTGTAAAGGGACACACGAGAGACAGTACCAAAGACAATGTTGCTCTTCCTGGTGATAAAGGAGGAGGACTCAGCCTTCCTGTGAACCCAAAAGGAACTCCAGGGTCGGACGTGATGGCTGTGGGCACGCATGTGTGTGGGGCGGTATGTGGTTTCAGTCAGAGACTTTCAACCCTTAGAGCTTTCTCTTAGCCTATGACAAACCGTAGTCTCTCTGCCCACGGGATTTCATCCATTCTCCCACAGCCAGAGACCTGAACGCCACCAACATGGCTTCTAAAAGCTGATGGCACTGGGCAGAGGGATCCCTGAGCTCTTCAAAGTAGTGACTATGTAGTAAGCCCGTCACTGCCCCCTAGGGGCGGAGAGGACCCTGCTTCTCTGCCCAGGGCTGACTTAGGCCCTTTGGAAGTTTCTGGAACAGCCTTCCAGTTGGCCAGAGGAGGAGCCAGACTTGAGTAAGTGCCAGTTAGCAAACTCTCCTGCCCTTTCCTGCTTTTAGCAACCTCCACACCTCTGACTAGGCCTGAACCTCTTCCCATTTCCTCATTCTTCCTCAGAAGACCGACTCACCTCTGGAGAAACTGAACGTCCTAGCTAGTTCACGGAGTAAAATCCATCCCCACTGATTTTTACTAATATCCGGGTCTTGAGTTGTTCTTTGGGGGGGGGTGTCCAAATCTCTGAATCCAGCCTCTCCATCTGACAGCTGGAGGCAGAACCTCCCATCCACGCACTGCCCACAAGACTGACTTGTCCTAGCCCACCCATAGGACAATTATAAAAGATAATAGCAAAGATCCAGACTATAGGGTAGGTGTAAATTACGAGGACATTTCATTTCAAAAAGGAAAAGCCAAGCATAAACAGCTGGTCAGTAACGCTGCTTCAAAACTGATAAAGGGAAATGTGTATTAGTCATGCTGTTTGGGGAGCAGCAGCAGTTTTTAATTTTTCAGAAAGAAAAGGTTTGTACAAGTCTCATCCCTGGCTATGCTATATGTCTATAACACCCAGCACATGCCTATAATTTGAAACCCAAATGAATCTTCAACATAGAACTCACACAAGAGAGACTTGCCTCAAAAACAAACAAACAAACAGAAATTCCCAAACCAAACCAACCAACCAAACAAACAAATAAAAACAACAAGTACACCTTAGACAGCAGAGGCTGCGGAGGGTCAGTGGTTAAGAGCACTCGCTGTCCTTGCAAAGGACATAGCTTCCATTCCAATCATTCACACAGTGGCTCACAACCATCTGCGATTCAAGCTTTATGGGACC